TTTGTGGTGTGACGGCGTTGATCAGGTGATACTTTACCCCCATTCCGCGATTTTCCTCGTAGCCAATATCGTACAAACTACTGTATACGCCATATTTTTACGCGATTACAGATATTTTTCGGCGAATTCACGACTTGATGGACACAATTTCGCAGTCGTGAATTATGAATTATTGTATATGAACTATTCGGCGGATGGGGACGCGTTCAGAGAATCGCGAAATTTAACCAGGGGAATGTATACAGCGTGTTTTAAGTACGTGGCAGACACAAAGCGGTCATTGAGGCGGGGTGCAACGGACTTGAACCAATGCAAAAATGCGCAAGCCACTTCGGAATATTAAATGAAATACGTATACGTAAGCGATTAACGAAATAGCAACAGTATAGTGTTTCAATCGTTTGTAATGTTCGTAACCGATCATGTTGTACCCAAGTAACAGTATCGGTTAATCGTTTACTCGGGTGTTGAATGCTGCGTGTGCGTAACGTCGTGTGCATGTACGTGTGTGCATGTTATGGTCTTGTTTAGCCAGCATATAAAATTCCTAGTGTGTCCTAGGCTTTACACCTCAACGGAAGGTAACTGCGGCGAATGTCGGGTGATTCCCGAACTAAAATAGCGATGATATCTGATTCTCGCATCAGTTTTCAAGTTTCTTTGTTCGAGTTTTACATTTATTTCGATTTTTTTTTCTTTTTTTCCAATGAAATCGATTATTGGATTTTGATAACCAAGCGCTTGGTTTCGAGCCACTGTTCAACCGATGATCGAGTATAATCGATGATCGTGACATCACTAGCCAACAGTGAGTTCGGTTCGTCGCGTGGGGCCTGAGCTTCATGCTGAGCAGCAACCTCACCGTCTGCCTCTGCCTTTAGCCAGAGATGAGAACGACCCGGATATAATCCGCGGGATATATTTCTAATGTGTGCGTTTGCTCTCTCGGCAGCTTCTCTATGAGAACGGCGTGAACGGCATCCTGGCGGATGAGATGGGGCTCGGGAAGACCCTGCAGTGCATCTCACTAATTGCTCACCTCGTTAGCATGGGCGTGTCCGGACCGTTCCTCATCATCGCACCGCTCTCCACGCTCTCCAACTGGTTGGCAGAGTTCCGGAGGTTTGCACCGAGTGTAAGTCAGTACTTAGCATACATAAGGTACTTAACGTACATAAGGTACTTAACGTACTTAGCGTTCATAGTGTACTTAGCATATTTATCGTACATAGAGTACTTAGCGTACTTAGTATAATTAGAGTACTTGGCTGACTTGGAGTACATAGAGTCGGACAAAAAACATTAAAAAAAACATAAAAAATACACGGGAGCGATGAGTGATTCGCTTTTCAAACCTCCGAAAACTGACTTTTGAAAAAGAGCTCCCGTGAAAAAAAAAGTTATTTTTTTCCTGGAGTCGGGGCGGTCGCCACGTATGGTGCCGGCGTCGCTTTCATCGTTAGAACAACATAAGAGGCGACGCAAAAGCGATTGTGCCAACGGAAGTCCTTGCAAACCCAACTCTTAAACGAGCTGTTGATCGATCGAGTGAAACTTGAGATTGCGGTGCAGCAGTGCGGATTTCTCATTCTCAGGCTCCGCAGCGCTAGAATTTTGCTGAGACTCAGATGGCACATTCCCCTCCCTGCTTGCTGTGGTAGCCCCAAATATTGGCCGCATCCACGACAATAAACCACCATGGTTGCCCTGTCCAGGCCACAATTAAAAAAATATTTGTTTGCCCTCACCCGACCCAGGCTAAAACGTTTGGGTAGGTAGGTAGGCTTCTTTTTTTGAGGGGGGTCTTTTTACAAATTCAGCATGGTGTCTACATGCTCGGGTGTGCTTGTGTGGAGATACCTTTTATGTAGAATGTTTATTTTGCTTGGTACATATAATCAATGTATTGCTTATATTTATGTATTGCGTAGATTTATATAATGTACAGTGATACAATTTGTAAAAAAAAAAAGAATGGGAAAGATCAATAAAAAATATTTTGATTTTTGAGTCGGCCCCTTTTTGGCGGGTCGGTCAGGGTGAGGGCAAACTAACAATATGTTTATTATGACGTCAGGTTCCCGTGCAGCTGTACCACGGCACGCCGGCCGAGCGTGAGACGATGCGGCGGCGGATACGATCCCGCGCGTCCGAACACCGCGTGTTCCCGTGCGTGATCACGTCGTACGAGATCGTGACGAACGACCGCCGGCACCTGCAGACGTTCATGTGGCGTTACCTCGTCATCGACGAAGGTCATCGCATCAAGAACCTCAACTGTCGTCTCATCAGGTACTAACATATTAACGAGTGTTTCTCGTTATATCTCAGCTTCACGGCTCTGGTCCTCTGAGCTTTTCCTGTATCATTAGCACTTGTACTCATTGATGATTAAAGACACCCCAATATAACAGGGTTTCGTCAGGCGGTCTTCCAAAGTCTATAAGTAACTTATTTTGCCAAAAATAAAGATAAGGCGGCCTTTGATTAGTACTTCTATTTTTGGTGAAGACGTCTTGGAGAAAAAGTACTTAATAGTCTTTATTTTTTGCCAAAGCGAGGACGATTTTTCAGACCTTGTTCTGTGTTGAATTTCGGGCGAAATTCCGACTTAGAGTACAGAATTTTGTATATTAGTAATACGGAAAATTAAAATCTGGCTGTGCATATTGTGTAATCTAACTATTTATTAGTGTATGTTTAAATAGTCGTGATCTATCAGAATCGCGTATAAAAAGTCTTATTTTGGCCTCCAAAGGGTGTTATAAGTTCCCTTCTATTTCAACATGTTCTTTAACCTACTATTAACACTGATATACAACAGTATCAGGGGTAGAAATTACTTTGGGAAAAGGGAGTCGCCAACGCTCCCGCCTCAAACAAGAGGAGTCGGCAGCAAAATGAGGGAGTTCCCGCAGTCCTGAGGTTCCAAATTAAAGATATATAACAATAACGCATGTGCTATGTTTTAAGAGTTTCATCGAGTTGCAACGTCTGCCAAATTTTCTTGTGACATTAGCTGAAAAAAAAAAAGTTGAAGTAATTCCGCGAGGCGTGTTCGGAACAAACGTATGGTATAGATAATTTTGCACAGGCTGAATTTCAGGGAAGTGAGCACGGATTCTGCACATATGTCAAAATCGGGAGTCCCGACAGTAAATCATGGAGTATTTGACTCCGGACACTTCCGATCGACAGTTAATTCGCACACACTGAGCGTCAGCGTAAAACCACAGGCGATGGTTTCAATGGTAGACGTTGCTTCGCTCACATGCAGAAGAGATCGGGCGGTTCAACTCTCGGCCCGCCGTCATACCAAAGACTTGAAAAATGGTACAACGCGGCTTCTTCCGCTTAGCATTCAGCAAATAGAGTAGATGTGGCAAGTTAACTCGCAGTGCTACAGTGGACTAACGCCCTACTGTAGCATATTACTGTGAAAGCAGCTGCGGGCCTCAGGGTTACGGAACACGGAGATGACACCGCCCTATGCGCTATATGGCGCAGGGAAGGCATTTAAGCTAACTAACGCGTTGCTGTCTCTAGGCGTTGCGCGCAGGGAGCTGAAGCAGCTGAGAGTGTCAAATCGGTCCTGCTCACCGAACG